GCCCCGTCTGCGGGGTGCGGCCCCCCCACGGCGGGGTGAGGAGCATACCGTGGAGCAGGGAAAGGACCCGTGAACGGCTGCGGTTTGGGGCTGGCTCTGAAACCGGCCCCGGCAGGCGTGCTTGTACACAAGGCAGGTGAATGCAAACAGAGCCTGGGGCGTCAGCTGCCCGGGGGTGGAGCAGCTCCGGCACAGGTGGCAGGGCTGAGCCCGGGGCCCTGCGCAGCCTGGGGAGCCCTGCTCCAAAGCCAAGCCCTCAGCAACCGGCCTTCACCTGGGCAGCGAGTTTACCTCCCTAAAAATCAAGCTATCGCCTGCTACCGCCAAGCAATGGCGAGCGTGGACTGTCCGGGGAAGGACGGCGGCGGGGGCAGGAGGAGGAATTTGGCCCTGCTGAGGAACAAGCTGTACATGGGGGAGAGGAGGAGGACAGAGCCCGTGGTGGAGAGCACCGCCGCCGCCGGGGACCACGGCACCTTGAGGAGGAGTCAGTCGGACAGGACAGAGTACAGCCAGAAATTACAAGGTACCGAGGAAGCTTGCTTGGCGCTCTGGTGCTAGGGATGCTCTGGGCTGTCGTGGTACCACCGTGCCCTCCAGGCTGCAGCCTCGAGATAAAGAAGGGAATGGCAGTCTCTGCCCCCACGGAGTCACAACTGGGGTGAGCAATTGCCCTCTCTCATCCTTGCCCTCCACTTCCAGGGTGTGAAACGTTTCCCCTAATTTTTCTAAAAAATGCTGTGTAGACAGGACACAAAACGCGGTCAAAGGTTTTGGTGTGTTTCTGCAAAATCCAAATGCAACCAGGAAAACCAGCAATGCAAATAGTAATGTGAAAATATGGTGGCTCCATCCTGTCTGTCTTTGACTGTCGCGTCAAGTGGGGTATATGCTAAGTAATTACAAGCATTAAGGGCAGTTTTTTCTTTCAGTTAAAAATACCAGGATCTACATGTGTTTATCTGTTGCTCAGATTGTACAAGCCTGAACTGAAGTACATCCAAATACATGGATGTATTTTGATGGATATGCTGATTCAAATTATAACATTATGGAGGGAGTTTCTTTTCAAATAACCAAACTGCATCTGGACCAGAAATTGGCAAAGTATGTCAGCATTAGGCCTGTCAATCAAAAATTAAATGTGATGCCACAAACTGAGGAGAAGCATGAAGAATGTGTATGGCTATTTCTGAGAGCGCTCTGGAACAGAAATTGATGAATTTCTGTGGGTTTCCAGGGTCTTGATCAACAGAGTCCCATCACAAATGTGGGGTTTGAGTATTATTACAATATAAGCCTGTATTACTAATAGTGATATAACTGCCTAGTGACAGTCACTCTCATGGAAATAATCCTTTATGGGGAAATAAAATAGGAAAATACTTTGGGTTGCTGTATTATGGTTTTGATGCACTTAATTAGGAAGTAGCATTCCTTCAGAGAGGCAATAAAAGCAGAAAATAAAATAATAAAGCTGAAAATAATAGGATTTCTATGGAGGCTGCAGACGCTGAGAACAACAGAGCGGTTCATCGATTATGCTGTTCCCTCCTCGTGAGAGGTAATCAATGAGAAGATGAAAAATTTTCAGTTAAGTCAGGCACACAGTGAAGGGATCTGGCAGGGGTGTTTCAAGGTACAAGCATGGATTGCTATGGCTGGGCAGGTAAGGTCCTGGCAAGTGTCCCACCAAAACAGAAGTTTTTTACTCATGAAGGGTGTTGCCCAGGTGAGGTCAAGGTTATCAGAGCGGTGTCCAGCAAACAGTGTGAGATCTTTCTGTCCCGTGTGAGGTGTATTCATGCCGTTAACGTCTCCTGTTTAGAATCTGGAGCAAAGGAGGCTGGAAAGCCGAGACAGTCGTGGCAGAGCATGAGGTTATGTTTATGGCAGCAGTCCAAGGAGACAGTAAATCCAGCTTTACAGCCACCTATTGAAAAGCACCAGTCTCGTATAAGCAAGCAGAATGAGCTGATGTTTGTTCAAGAAAAATGTTGATGGGTTAACAAGGTACCTGTAGGCTTTATATTGAATATTATGTATTAGAAGTGCTTGTCCTCAGAGTGAGAATACAAAGTCATTAGAAATTCCTGTGAAGTGTATTTACAGTTGCAATAGGAAGAAATGCAGTTGTGTGCCGAGGCCTGATCTGGATCAAATTTTGCTGAGCTGGATGTGCCTGTATCTGAGAATGATCATGTATCCCAGACCTGATGTGTTACCTGCCAGCGCTGATGATGTGCTATAATTGCACGCCTTTATGTTCTTCATTTTTCTCACTAGCACTTGTATGCAAAGCAGCTTACTCCAAGAAGAGGGAAGCGGTTTTGTTGGCACAAAGCTTTTGAGTTCTCCATTCTTGTTAAGAAAACCCAACAGCTCTGTTCGTGACATAAACCGTCTGTTATGTATTGTCAGGTCAGGACTCTCTGATCACCCTGGAATGGTAAATGCTTTGCAAAAAGATACAAATGGGTAATAATTTGCACTTGCTTCCCACCTGAATTGGAGGAAAAGCTCCGTGTTTAGTTGTCCCTCCCTTCTATAGTCCCTCGTTAATACGTTTTCTAACACACAGTCTGCAGAGCTGTGGTAGGTATTAGCACAGACGAGGATGTGTAAGACAGGGAGATGCAACAGGAGCAAACCCTGCAGAGGGTTGTCTCCTGTGAGTGGGGCAGGTTTCCACAGCTAAGAGTCAGAGGCTGCAGGACTCCCATCTCTGCTAGTGGCAGGCAACCTGAGCAGAGCATGGGGACCAAGGTGTCTTTACACCCCAGAGTCTATGTCAGCATTGCAGCATATTTGTTCAAGGTGAAGCATCTCTCGAGGGCCCTTCCAGCCCTCTGCAATGGTTTAAATGATTCCCCGAGTAGAAACAAGGTTGTTGCCTACCCCCCCACCCCCCCATTTCCAGCAGCTCTGAAGTATATGCTTAAAGTGCAGCTCAAAATAGAAGTTCCCAAATAAAAGCCTAGAAACGCACAAACAAAAAACCAGTGAGCAAGCAGTCAGGCATAAAAACTCCTGAGAATTCAGTTTCCCCCCTTGGATTTCTCTTAAGTTTTGGTTTTTTGTACAGAATCCAAAATGTTGTCTATAAAGAGTGAGAAAGGGAGCCTACCAGCCAGATCTCCAGGGTGATTTGCTCTGTAAGTCTGCAAACATGAGCACAATAGTGTTATCAAAGGTGCAAACTTCTGTGTTTTTCACTTTAAAATTAAAGATTCATTAAAAACACAAGAAAGCATTTTCATGGTTAATTATTACACTAGACACATCTATTCAATACCTTATCTGGTGTGAACGGCCATGCAACACCTCCTGGCTTTACTCTTTTTAAAAAGGAAATAAGATGCAAAGTAACCATTATATTCTTAAAGAACTTGGTAAGCGTTAATGCATCTATTTCAACTCATCCTGTGAGATAACCAAATGTCTGCAGCCCCATTTTAGATAGGGGAAAATAAGGCAATTGCTCTCAAATGACAGCTTTGTGATACAACCCTGCAGTCATCTAGAACTCAGGTTGCAGTTGCGTTCTTGTCTGAGTCCAGAAATACCTTGATCAAGCCATATATATTTTTTTCTTCCACAAGTTCTCAATCAACTGGACAGAAACATCACTTTTCTAAAGAGGGAAGAATGGGGTTAAGGAAGATATATTCACTAGCATTTGTGGTGGATGCAGAAAAAATATCAATGGTCATTGTAAGAGCTAAGACAGAGCTCCTATGATATTTCTATTCTCTAGAAAATCCTGCATATATGTCCTTTCAAGAGGAATGAAGAACTTGCTACTATTCTTAAGCAATGGTACAAAAGAGTATTTAGCAGCTCTGTTTTCAAATGCATTAGTCATAGCTGCTTAGCTGGTAGGAGTTGGTCTCCTTTCTAAAGTGAAAATCCATCAGTAGCAGCTGTAAAAGTAACTATATTAATATCTATGTATGTTGGGATCGGTCTTTGAATTAACCTAAAGCTACCATTCTGTGAGCACCCATATATTTCAGTAAGAGGAGTTTGCTTGATGTGGTTATTGGCACATAACTGTTTGTGAGATCAGGGCAGATTAAGACACAATGTATTCTGGGCATAGATGATATCAACCAAAAAGGGCAGACAGTGAAAAGGAATTTAAAGCATAGTTCACTATCTGTTAGGTTTTGGACAGATCATTGGGTTTTGTTAATAATCATATACCAAATTTGTGCTTGGTGTGAAAAATGAGCTATAGAAAATGGTCGGTTTCCAGAAGGAATCAGAGATCACATTTACAGTGTTCAGCGAGACAATGCATGCTTTGAAAGTACTCCTTCTTTTACGACTCTATTACATATTAACTCCCTTAAAACTTTAGCTGTGAATGGGTCAACGGCACTATTAAATGATTTGCACATGCTTCAATTTAGAACACACTGTGACATACTGTGATAGATAGTGATACAAATCACACAACTACCACCGTGTATTGCCTCAGAGCTTGTATCTGAACTCTGATTTTCACGTTTTGCCTGTGTCTAATGTAGTTATGAGAAATAACCAAGCCCAGAAATGACGCAGAAACCTGTGAAATTATACCAATTCCTGGAAAGTCGCTATCGCTTGGTATGCAAAAGCCCAGTCAGAGGCAACTCATCCCCCTTCAATCCATCACAAGTAGGACACCTTCCTCCATCCCATCCTCCTCCCTGCCTGCAGAGCACACCCCTTCTTCCTGCGTGGGCTGCCCATGCACACAGCTTCTCCGTACCTCCCACCAGGAGTAAAGATCCTCTTCTCCTCTCCCCAGTTCCTTATTTGCTTAGCGCCGCACTTACTGATTAACTTGCCATGAACTACAATGCAGATAATATCCTATTTCACTGCAAAATGTATTGATCTTTGGAGCGGCTGATTTGCCAAGAACAGTAAGGAGTAAAAGTCCGGTTAACTTCCTGAAGTGCAGGAGGTGGCTTGATGAAAATATCCCCTTGTGCCCTGTGATGAGAAATTGCGATCTAACAAATACTTTTACTTCCTCCCATGCAAATTTGAGCTTGGAGGATCTAATTCTGTGAACTTGCACTGCAATAAAGCTGGAGTTATTCCTTGAACTTATTGCAGTGGCAGCCAGGCTGGGAAGCAAGCTCATCTTTTCAGAGCAGAATCCATTTTGTGCTGCTGCTTTTGCACAGCACTTAGCACAATCAAGTCCTGCTGTGTGGCTTGGGACTCTTAGGAGCTATTGCAGCATAACTAACTGGAACCGGGGTAAAGGACTGAAGACTAGGACCCAAGGAGGATTACGGATCCTTCTCTGAGCATATTAGGAAATGTTTTGTTAATTGGGATACTTTACATTGTGGGTCACACAGCTCACGGTTCGTACAGCTAATCTGTGCCAAATCTTGAGGTGTGTGTGTCCCAGGGGAAGAAGTTCAGATGCAGCCCTTCCTTGGTTCTGACTTTGTTAACGTATTAGCTCAACGCCACACGAGTGGTATATTTATAATGGTATATGACATACTGGAAAGGTTTATTTGTGAGTATTGGCGCTAACAATAAGGGCATTCTTCTGTCACCTGATGATAAGCTTTCTTCCCTTCCACTGCGGTCACATGGGATCTCTCTGAAGTCCTGTCAGCACACATATAATTAAAGTGGTTTACTGTCAAGGAATTGAAGAAAGAACTTGTGTGTTGAATGTACATAATTTCTGTACCTTATGGAACGGAAAAATGATCAAAGATTGAAAGACCTAATTTCAAGGAAGTCTCTGATGCAGATTTTATGAGTGAACCTGTTGCCGAGGAGGGACTGGTACAAGGTCATTCTGGTCCTGCAGTGTTCTCCTCCTGTGTCCAGAAAAGGGGCTTTTCGCACAGGTAACTCGCAGCCCGTGTGCAAGAAACCTGCTCCTGAGTGATTCTGCTGTTATGTGAATCTGTAAGGAAAAGAAAAAAAAAGGCACTTTCCACAAACGTCTCCCAGTCGTTTTGTATTTCAATGCTCAACCTGGAGTTCAGCAGATCTAATTCACACCATGTTTGCGCCATATTGTTGCACTGTAATAACTCTGATGCAAAACCATAATGACCCTGTATGAAGTGGTTGCTCACAAGGGGAGGGGGGATCTGGAGAAAAACTTGTGTGTTAGCTCATGTGATGCGCTTCTCCTGCATGGAGTGGGAGACTCCATCCTTTCGCACTGCTTGTCCCCTTTCAGGCTCCCTCACTTCCAAGGATCCCCGTGTCCCTATGCCCTGCAGCCTTCCCAGAACCTACAGTGGAAGCAGGGGCGTAAGGGGCAGAGCCAGGGCTGTGGTGTAAGGGGACATGCAAGGGGGGAGAGGAGAGCTGCCACAGCAGCAGTCCCTGAGCTTGGCTGCCTGTGTTTCATTCCCAAATCCAGCTGATAAAAGCCAGTGTACATTTCTGTGTGTAATAGCTAGGTTATCTGAGGGTACAGGCTATTTGAGGACTTGATTTCGCAGAGGGGTAATTTTTATCCAGGGTGGTGTGAGACTCGGGTTTCACATGTGAAAATGCAGTAATGCTGTAATTTGTTTTACCCTGATAACTTATGCCTTCACTGCTCCCTTGTGCCAGGCAAAATCCCCGTATCTGCCCAGCACGAGTGCAGAAATTGTGTTCCTTTGGCGTCCTCCAAATGCTGCCTAAGTAACGAAAAGGCCTGTTGCTCACTTCATGCACTGAAATCGCTGTACTTGTTGCTGTGTTCTGTGCCAGTACCTTCACTTCCAGATGGAAAGCATTGGATGGGGAGAAACCTCGATCCCATCCCCAAGGGCAAACGTAATGTCCAACCTAAGCATCTTACCTGGAAGGAAGGATGGATAGAGCAGACCTCTTGGAGCTACTCCCTCTCTAGGTGGGAAAGACAGGGAAATTTGCACACATACATCTTGCAAACCTGCTATGACTGCTCCTCCGGTCGCTTGCTGTGGATCCCCCAATACCTCCTCTGGGCCTTGAAGAGAGCTGTTACATTTGCACATTGCAAGCTCTGCTCCTCCATGCTCTCGCTGCATTGCTGGATGTCTCCATCTGGGAGATATTTTTAGACTTCACACTTGCAAGAAACTAGTTTTGTAAGAAGTGTGGCTGCTTTGTCCATGTCATCACATAATGAACCTCTTGTTTCATGCAGCTAGAGCCAGGTACTTCAACATACAGCCGAAAAAACGAAGTCATCACCTTTCGTCTCCAAAGCAAAGTCTTCCAGAGAGGCAACTCCTGCAAATAACTGACATCACGAAGCAACAATTGCAAACATTACCTTCTACTTTACATTTTTATGCCTACTAAAAGTACCAATTACTTCTTTGTAAACTGGTCTTAAGACGCAGCTGTCTAATAAACCATTCAACAGGCAGTTTTTTCTTTTTTTCTAAACCTGGCATCTCTGAGGACAAATAAGCCAAATTCCTACTGTAACAGTTAATCCTCAGCAATGTCTCTTCCTGCTAATCCTCTCTCTCATACTGTTCCGGGGCTGGTACCCGTTACCAGGTAGAACCAAGTCTGCTTATATTTCAGATATGCATTTGCTGTTTGTGCATTCATTAAACTTTCACTTACTCCACAAGGATTTCAGCAAGCTACTAATGTTCTCAACTGGTCAAAAGCAATCAGCTGAACATGAAATCACAGGTTTTGTCTGTAATCATCACTTCAGGATCTTGCTGTGGATTTCTATAGACAGACATGCCTGAAATGAAAAAAAGAACATATTGAGTGAAAATGGAAAATTATATTACTTTTAACAAAAGGATACCTTTATTAAAAAACATGTTTTCTGTAAGGAAACAGAATCTACCTGATATTTCTTATGGTTATTTCTTCCTGTTGAGAATAGTTTTTCTTTCCTGGCATTATTATCTATCATGCCATAAGGATATTAGATGTGCCCTGACATAATTCAAGAATCAAATTTGATCAGGGTGATCTAATGACATAAACTGAAAGAACAGACTCTCTAGGGGTTGTGGCTTCAAGCCTGAAGTAAGGTATGGTGGCTTTAGTTTGCTCAAATAATGCCCTTGCCTGCCAGCAGTATAAAAGATTAGAAAGTTCTTTTTCACAGCATATTGTGTTTACCTTCAAATTCCATCTGATCTCGTAACAGTGCTGCGTCTGAGATGAAACGACACTTCTGAGATCTTCTCGGATGTCTGGTCCTTTCTGCACTTTCTCAGGAGTTGCCCTGAACTCTCACATAGAGTCACACACACGCAAACGTTTTCACACCCCATCTCAAGAAATATGCTGATTTTGGTGCAGAACTGGAACAGAATTGATTGTTCGTGTGGTTCCTTGTGAATTTATAGGTGTGGTTACATACTGTAAGATTTTAGAGGAAAAAGTACCTGCTGGTTTAGCATGTAAGCAGCAGGCAAGGTGTTCTCATTCTGCAGCCCTAGCAGAAAATTGCTCAGAGGGAGCTGTGGAGTGGTACTGGTACCGGTTTTGCTCCCCTCCTCATTAAAGTAAGGGCAGAGTCTGTTTCGTCCAGCACACAGCACCTTTGGTGGATCAGCTCTGCGGCAGTGCAAGCTCCTGTGCAGTCTGTGCATGCACACCAGCACCCACTCACTGGGGCAAGATTCAGCTTAAAATTCTTTTGATAGCCCAAGCCTTGTGGAGGGGAGACATCCTTATCATGTTTCCATTTTATTGTCCGTGTACAAACTTGAGGACAAAATGTTCATGCCTGTGATATACATGGACTTCAAGGCTAAAAACTCAAAGGTAAAAACTATATATAAATAAAAAGAAGTCTGAAAAAACAGCCCCCTTCCCCAGTTTATTTGGGTTCATTGTCCTCACTGTTTAAAACTATCAGTACAGAAGCAAAGGTGCAGTCCCAAAAGCAGCTATTCAGAGCAGTAACTGTGATCACATCAGTCTCACTAGAAAACCTGATGGGAGAAGCATTAATAACAAAATGGTCTTTTCTGAATATCAGTGGTCAGCATAATTGTAGAAGGGGTTGGGGATGATGATACATTGGATTTGTAACATTTTACACCTCTCAGTGGAAGGCGACTCAAAGCCCTCTTTCCTGAAAACTGCTTGTTTTTCCCACAAGTCCAGCTCCAGGCTATCACCTACAGCCTTGGCTGGTGTTGTACAGGTGAACTGCATCCTGTTTGACGCTCACTGGGGCGCTTGTGACCTCATCCTTGACAATCAATTCAAGCAACTGCAATATATTCGGTGTTGGCTATCAGTGAGCAAAGCATCAGATACTGCTTGCTATTGCCTCATTATACAGTACGCTCCCTACAAGAAGTTGACATGAAGGTCTGGCAGCCTGATCCGCAGCAGAGAGTCCTGTCGTTTGCTGCTGAGCAATGAAAGCCTGTGCTATCAAAGCACGACCTGGGTAATGCAGAGATGAGTACGGTAATGATATGTCCATCTTTGTTGGTACTCTGCACCATCTTGTGGCTAGCAGAAAAACACCAGAAAAGCCTCTGAAATCTTTCACTTTTTCTTTTCTTTTTTTTTTTTTTTTTGGTGTGTGTATTTTTCCTAATGAAAAATATAGATTGTCAGTGTACACAGATAAAATTCAGTGCCCTTTGTACAGCTGACATGGGTGTCTGCAGGCTGGCTTACAAACCAGCAAAAGGCAGACCGTCATTACAGATAAGTAGGTTGTGTGCAGGTTCTGTAGCATACATAAATTACCTACGAGTAGAAGGCTCACTTGCATTTCCATGTATTTGGAACAAATCAGATATTCTATGTCTTAAGTATGGAATAATAGCTGAGAATGTCCTGATCCAGATGATCTCTGCTGTTCCAAGGAATGTTTGTTATTGATCATTAAAGGTTTTCCCACATTGTCATGTAGTTCCTTTGCCTTTTTCAAAGAAATCGTTTTAAACAGAATTACCGGTTTTGTCATCATCGTTGGTAACATTGTTTTCATTTGAAAGTTTGTCTTACAGTACCTGCAGCCCTCAGCCTCCAGTGAATGGAGTCAACATTAAACCATACAGATCAAAAGTTGTTCCAGTGAAGCTTATTTATGGCAAACAGCCTTTTTCTTCCACAGGAGCACATTTTCTCTCATTCTCCAAATCATAAGAGCTGTCAGACTTTGTTTTCACAGTAGTAGAAGGGCATCAGCTATTCTTGAACTTCAGTGTGACAAGGATCAGACTCTCCTGTGCTCCATGGAAAATTTCTGCCCACATACATTACATCAAAGCTGGGGGAGTCGGTGATGGATTATCCCCTTACTGCCAAATGGACTGTTTCCTTCGCCAAACCCATGTCTGCTTTTAGGGGAGGGAGATGGTTTGACACTCAGTCTTCTCAGCCATTTCTTATGCTTCTTTTCCTGTTCCCCATGGCACTTTGGGAGCTTCCAACATTGTTCTTGGTTATGTTCCCCCGTGGTCGCACAGGGCAAGCTGGGTGACACTCAGGATTATGGTGCTTCTCACAAATCTCCCTCTTTTAACAGAAAAAATGGCCCCCCAGGCAGGGTCCTCAACACCTGCCACTTCACCACAGGAGGATGAAGAACAAGTTAGCAGATGCATGATGGCCAGGAGGGTGAAAATCATCACAGAACTCATGCAGACGGAGAAAGACTATATCAGCGACCTGGATCTCTGCATCAAGGAAGTGATTCAGCCCCTGAGAAACAAGCAGGTGAGGGCCGGGGGCGGGCGATGAGGTGTTGACGTCAAGGTCTCAACTCACCCATGTTCTGCTTGCAGATAATCTTAATGCAAGCACAAATGTCAGCACAAGAGTGACGTGGTGCCGGGAGTGGGTCCAGAGCTAGCTTTTTGGAAAGGGACATGCCAGGGCTCCAACGAGGAGAGCGGGAAGTCAGATATGCTCCTGACACTTGCGCTGCACTTGCATAAAGCCTGCATCAACATGCTTGCCCAGAGGGCAGCTTGGATGCTATATCCCTGATTGTGGGCTGCAATAGCAGCTTCCACCTCTCCATGCTGCTTTTTAATTATAACTCCTGGTACGTGCCCTGGCAGACCTTTGCTGGTGCCTCCAAAAGCAGTAAAAACCAATAAAATCAAGTATTTTCCATGATAACAACCTGGAATGGCATGAACATCCCCATCAAGGTTAAATTGTCATAAAGGTAACTTTATCCAGCCTTTCAGGCAACTGTAGTGGAGAAATACCATGCCTGACGGACTAGTGAGCACTTCAGAAATTTGCATTCTACACAGGAAAGGTACATTTAAGAAGGACGGACCATAAACTACCTTTCAGGCAAAAGATCTTATTAGGCCAATGATACCCATTTTCTTTTTCAGCTGAGACTTCAAAGAGCACCTTTTCCTCAACTGTATTTCAATTTGTAGAAAAATTGCACAGCTGAAAGCTGAGAATAGAAGAAGTTGTCCAGAGAAAGATGCATATTTGTGTAGCCTGCAGCATAGCATTCACAGAGGCTGCACAAATTATATCTGCTGTTAATACAGAATAAAAATAGTTTTAAATAGACCCGAAACCAGGTATTCTGTATGTAGGGTTTCTTATGAAATTGGTGGCAAAATACAGGTGCAGAGGCCAAAGTGTCTTCAGGAACTGCTGTGGCCAGCTGAAGGCTGTGCTATTTAAGCTCTCACAGGGCCTTTTTTCTTTCTTAAAACTCTGTCAGAGTTTGTTCTAACCTGTTTTCAGAAGAGCTGGCATCTGCTGGCATAACTCTGAGGAGTTCTTGACTTCTTCCTCCTCACTTGTTCACCCACTTAGAAGTAGTCTCCACTTGACTCCCTCCCCAGCCTGGCCAGTACCAAGCAAGAGTATTCCCTGGCTGAACTCACTGAGATTTTTGACAAGCTTGGTGTATTCTTTTGCTCTTTTCCAGCCAACTGAAAAAATATGTTTTAATTCTGTCCTCTGACACTGTATTAACGTGTGCAAGTGTCCATGCACAGCGTGGGTCCAAATACTATGTAGGCATTGTTCTGGAGCAGAGGTCAGAAGTCCTGTGGTAGATGTATACAGGAAAAATAATTTAGAGATTATAGCTGTCTTAATTTAATAACCTCTACATTTTTGAAAGGCTTTTAAGAATGTTATATGGTTTTAAGGCTAGTTCTCGGATAAACTACCATATTGAAAGTTTGTAATGTGTTTAGAAAAGGATAGCATTTAGAAAATTGACCAAGCAATGAGTCTGTTTCATATTTCCAAAATGGATAAAACATGTTTTAGCCCCTATAATAATTCCAAAGAAATTAACTGCATTAGTATGGAATATTTCTGATTCCATTACAATAGCATGCAATGTGATGCTCCTGGCATCTGGTAAGCTGCTATGTAAGTCAGCAATTCTGTTTCTAATGGAGAGATGTTCAGAGGATATCAATATGGCTGTCAAAATCAGTCTTGCCTTTGTTCTTGGTATTAGCACATTACCACCGGCCATCTCCAGTTGTCCCCGAATATTAACTACTGCTCTGCTGTGCAAGGAAATAAATAAAAAGTACTGCATGAAAAGTACGTGTCCTGGAAATTTTTTACTTACTCTAAAATGAGTAGGGACACAGAACCAGATTTTCTGTTGGTGTAAATTGATGCAATTCACTGATATCAGTGTTATGTACCCAGGCTCTGTAGGAAGCTCTTTCAGTTACATTAATACCTAGAATTGTAAATGTGTTTGTTTTAGTAGAAAACATATGAACTTGATTTGGATTTATAGGACAACTAACTTTAAATGGTACCACCATCTGGAAGTCTTTGTACCTGGTAGCTGGCACCAAAGCACCGAGGTCTCTGTTTATGTAGTGGCCTCTGTTAGCAACTGGTAATCAGGGAATCAAACTCACTGTCAACTATCCTTTTCCTCAGTGGGAAAGTAAACAAACATTTTAAAGCCAGCTAAGGATCTTTTCTTTATTCAGATGATAATATTTATTTCCTTACTAGGTAAACACTTTCAGATTAGGAATAATTCAAAATAAGGTTAAAAGCATTTGATAACATGCCCTTTGTTAACTGCGTCAGCCATATTATACTAATCTGAAACTCTGTATGTGTCCTTGAAGTCACAAGGAGGATGTTTATATATATCAGGTTTTGCAGAAGTGGTGCTTCCTGGAGTGTTGAACACTCAGGGCATAGCAAGAGGAGGTCTGTTATACACAATGTCCTTCTTTATCCTTCATCAGTAGCCATTTAATATTTGTATTCCATTAGATTGCTCGCTTTGACGTGGATGGCTTGTTTAGCAACATTGAATTGGTCCATCAAGTATCAGCCAAACTGCTGTCGTTGCTGGAAGAAGCCACGACAGATGTGGAACCACCCATGCAAATAATCGGTATGTTTACTGTCCTCTTGAGTTCTACAAAGCTACGTGAAAGAATAAACATAACACTCTCCTGTCCTCTACCCTCATCAGACTTAACTACTACCACTCCCAGAGGCTAACATGCTACAAGCTGTCCGTAACAACACAAGAAAAATGCTAAGTGAAACCTGTCCAATTGGTCCACTGTACTTGTATGATCATGATACTCTTTTTCCATCCATCTGGATGTTGAGAGGGAGGAAAGGAGAAAGTGAGATTAGTGTGAGCAAAAATTGCAGTGCTGAGTTATGCCACATACTGATAATATCCTTTTCATCTGGTTTGATATTGCCTACCTAACTACTTACGCTTACACCAGCTCTTACCTTGCCTACTCATAATTGTGCCATTCAAGAAAAGCATTAAAAATGATTGAAATAATAAGCACGTCACAACCGCACCCAACCCCAAACATTATAAACATCTATTTACTGGCAATACAATTCATATATGAGGTGGTTAAGTGTGCTTAACAGGGACATGGTCAGTAAATGCAGAAAGCTGTAA